TTCTCTCTGGCCGCAAAAAGCGTCACCACATCACCCCAATTCTGGCCTCATTGCACTGGCTTCCAATTCGGTTCCGCATTGATTTTAAACTCCTGTTATTTGTTTTCAAAGCACTAAATGGGCTGGCTCCGGCTTATATAGCAGAACTCCTCCATCGCTACACCCCAGCCAGAGTTTTAAGGTCTGCTGACCAGCTGCTGCTGATAGTGCCCAAGACCAGGCTCAAAACCCGAGGGCACCGAGCCTTCGCAGCAGCTGGCCCCAGGCTCTAGAACACTCTAACCCTCCATGTGAGGTCGGCCCAGACCCTAGGGGTTTTTAAATCAACCCTAAAAACTCACTTCTTCTCCCTGGCCTTCTAGTCAGAGCGGAGCACGACTCATGACACTTCCCTGTGTTTGATTTTTATATTTGCTGTTGTAATTTATTGTCTTCTGTTTGCGACTGTAGTAATGTGTTATTTATTATTTGCATGTACAGCACTTTGGCTCGACCAAAAATCGTTTTTAAAATGTGCTATATAAATAAAACCTGATTTGATTTTATCTAAAATGTGCAGTCTTGTTCTTTGACACTTTTACATTACATTACATTGCATTTAGCTGACGCTTTTATCCAAAGCGACTTACAATAAGTGCGTTCGACCAACAAAATACAACTTGAAGAAAACAGAATCATATAAGTACATCAGGTTTCATAGAGCCAAACATTTCAAGTGCTACTCAACTGGCTTTAGATAAGCCAGTCCTTTATTAGTATAAAAGTGCTTCGTTAATAGTTCTATCGCTCGAAGTGGAGTCGAAAGAGATGAGTTTTCAGTCTGCGCCGGAAGATGTGCAAACTATCTGCTGTCCTGATGTCAATGGGGAGCTCATTCCACCATCTTGGAGCCAGGACAGCAAACCCACGTGTTTTCGAAGTGTGTACGAAGGGCCAGATCCATTCGCAGCATGGTACGCAAGTACCAGTGTCTTGAAGTGGATTCTAGCAGTTACCGGAAGCCAGTGAAGGGAGCGGAGGAGCGGAGTAGTGTGGGAAAATTTAGGAAGGTTGAAGATCAGACGAGCCGCTGCATTCTGGATGAGCTGCAGAGGTCGGATGGCACATGCAGGTAGACCAGCCAGGAGGGAGTTGCAGTAGTCTAGGTGTGAGATGACGAGAGCCTGGACCAGAACCTGAGTCGCTTTCTGAGTCAGCTGGGGACGTATCTTCCTGATGTTGTAAAGCGTGTATCTGCAGCAACGGGTGGTAGCAGCGATGTTTGCAGTGAAGGACCGGTTGTTATCTAGGGTCACACCCAGATTCCTTGCAGTCTGAGTCGGGGAAACAACTGAGGTGCCGATGTTGATTGTCAGGTCAAGAGTGGGACAATCTTTTCCCGGAAGGAAGAGCAGCTCAGTCTTGTCAAGGTTGAGCTTGAGGTGATGAGCAGACATCCACTGAGAGATGTCAGCTAGACAAGCAGAGATGCGTGCGACGACCTGGGTCTCTTAACACTTAGTTAAGAAACATCTTCATTATGGTTTAATTCACTTGTAGACTGTAGACAAACAAGCGCACAAACTCTAAGTTGCGCATGTGTTGCATGGACTCATAAGGGAGGAATATTTTGGTGGGAATGTTTGTGCAGCGAGGATAAAGAAATCACCTTGTTGGGAGGTAGTCTCCAAACAAGACTCCCAATGCAGGAATGCTGAGTCGCCTTTACTCACTTCCTTTCTCCCACACTCACTCACATACATTCATACCCCCTCATTTAAGGTCATGCTATTTGTTATTCGTGTGTACATGGCTGCACTCATGCATGACAAGAGCACAGATATATAGATATATGTGTGTAGAAGAAGAGGGTGTGTGTGATCCAGACAGCAGTTTGAGCTTTTGATCTTGTGACATGTTTCTACCCGCTTTACCTCTGCCATTTCACTCATTATGTTGTCCTCCCCCTTCCCTCTGACTCATCTCTTCTTGTGTAGTTTATTCTCAGCTAAACTCATAAGCAGAACATATTGCAAAATGTTTGGTATTCTGGCAGAAAACTTGAACTGACTGGCTCTGTATACAGTTGTTCAGATTTTAGTGGTCTTATATTTCCAAACTGTTAGACATGTTTTGTCACTTTAGTCGATCCATATACTATTGAGGAATGGCAATAGCCAGTTGAAGCTTCAGAACAATCTTTTGAGATGACCTTTTCCCCCTCTCACTCTTTACAGGGCATATAGATATAGTCAACTCTGATGCTCACACCTTTAAACCTTGTTAACAGCTCTTGTTAGTTCATTCTGAATCTGACAGGCTGCACATTCCTTGAGTTTTAGATGCCTACCTATCGTGAACATGACGTCAGAGTCATTGTATTTTAAGGCTGCAAAATTGATAATCTGTATTTATGAATTGGTTCAATTAATTAAATAACTATTAACTATTTAGTCAATGTGAAAAGGTTGTGAAAAAAACCTCAAGAGCCAGCTTCTTACAATGTATTTTCTGACAGTTTTTCTTTCTGATGTGTGAGTAACATCAATCAAACCCAGTGCCTGACCTCAAGAACGTCACTTTTGGTTTTCCGGAAGAGGTTTCTTCATGCAAGCATGCGTGCCGCCTGCCTGTGTGCAAGCATGTAGGCACGCATGCATGCATACTCACAAAACACAATTACAACCATAAAGAGATGTCGAAAATGAGGCTGAAAACTAAAGTTCCTGCAAAGCACTCATTTGCTGGATCCAAACAGAAACCATAACATCGAAAACAAACTAGGCTTATCACTTTTTTCCTGGGAACTTTTAAACGTGGGACCCATGCCAAACTACTTTTAGCTACCACACTCTATAATTTCAAGAATGCATAAAGATTCATGGACGTGTTTCAGTTTCTGCTCTCATGCCCTGTTGAAATAACTACACAGACCTCATCACAGATCACAGTGGGAGGCTGGAGCAATCTGAGCCTTAAATAGCAGTCAGTCCAAAACTTATCCAAACAGGCTCCCCTCTGGGAAACCTACTTATTATCTCTCTGAGTAATAGGCCTGCAGCCGAGATGGGATTCATTCGGGGCAAACTGTTCAAGTAGAGCAGAGCAACAATGCACTGATATCAATGAGAAGCTTTGTCCTAGAAGGAAACGGGGAAAGGTGACACTTGCTGAGCGTGACTAAAAGAAAACTAAAAACTCTGCATGTATCATTTAATTGAATGTATTCTAACACCACATATAGTATTAGGAAATGTAATCAGTAGAAAGTTGTATCCATGACACATGAGCTTCTTGACAAAAAAAGAGAGAAAGAAATGTATTAATGATTTGAAGTTATATTTAACACATTTAATACTTTTGGATAACTTCAAAGACTTGTTATTTGAAAAAGTGTTTTTTTTAACATTACCCCTACTGGAGGATAAACAAACTTTAGGACGTATTTTCAAACTTTTCTGAAAAGTCAGTTTTGGATAAGAATCAATAAACTTAGTAGTGTCTATAATAGTCCTTCAGTTATAGCTCCTTTCTCCCTTACCTGTTATCATCTCCCTCCTGCTCTCATCCAGGTGAGCAGACACCACGTCCCCCATGGTTACAGGAGAGCCTCACAGATCGCGCAAGTATCCGAGGTAAAATTGTTCTTCAAGTGGTCTCTCTAGTAGTCTCTAATATCCGCTGGTAAAATCACTTTCCTCCACGGCTGTGGCGCTGCTGCGTGTCTTCTCTCCCGTGTAAGAGAGGAGGGCTGCTGCGAGGTGACGACTCCCGCCGGTGAGGAGGAGGAGGAAGAGGAGGTGAACACTAGTCTGGTTCACAGCGGCAGGACACACCCTCTGGGAGTCATCACTGGTTCAACGTGTTCAGGCGGCCCTGCCAAGGGTGTGGCCAGATTTAACCAAGGGGTTATTGCAGTGTCTACATATTCAATATTTACCGTGCATTGCTCCGGTGCAGCCCGACTTCATTTAGCGTTCAATTTATCATTTAGGAATATCAGAACACCTTTAATCGTCCCACAGAGGGGAAATGTACATTGTTACAGGCTAGCATGTAGAGTGGCAAAGATAGCGTATTAATTAAGAGCTAACATGCTAACAAAGATTAAAGATAAACATAGAAGTTACATCACTATAATATGACAGCTTAAACCCAAACCTCCATATGCTGTTTATAAAGACAACCCCTAAGAAATTAAACAAAAAACATTTAAAATTATGTATTTTTTTTACAATATAGTTACTACTTTTGAAGCCCTTCGATGAATGTTTGCACTGTCAAAAGTTGCTTCTCGTTATGCCATCTGTTTGTGTTTCCTATAGAAAGAGCTATGCTGCCCCCTTGTGGACACTTTGTTTCTTCGCTATTCTTGAGGGGCCTGTATCCATTGCAGAAAACCTCACTTTACAACGAACCAGTCGTACACATCACATGCAATTAATACATTGTTCGGATTAAAAAAAAAATAGTGCTCAAAGAACCGATAGGTGAGAAATAATTGAGCTTTTAATAGAAAACATGTACAACATTATCAGTGATTAATGCAGATTGAGTGGGAAAGTCAATAGGCTATCTCAAGCTATGAGTAGTCGGTCAGGGAGTTTGGAGTTGTCGACAAATGTTTCCACTTATAAAACAATTATAATAAGTGTCACTGTTGCTGGAACACTTTGTTCATAAATGAGTGGAACAAAATACAAGTAACATGTTCAATATTTTTCTAATTGATAGTTTGTTTAAAAAAAATTGGATCTACCAAGCAGTGACAATATGAATTTCAACCTAATTGACAGTGCTGTTTTAAAAACAATTAACACCATACTTTAAACCAAACACATCACCACATATCAAACATAAAGACGGCTGTATATGTTTTAAATGCTATAAGGCAATTATTGAGTGGCATCTTTCTGGGGGTGTCTGATTAACTAGTGACTCGAGAACAAATAAGACATTTAAGCTAATAAATCGCAGTTGTAGCTACACATCCAGCACCATCATGGGGGGGGGGGGAGAAAGAGATGATGCGGAAGGATACGCAGTGACGTTTCGAACTGGAGGCTCCTCCGCAGCGCTGTGAGGTGAACACAGGAGAGAGAGATAGGGAGGAAGCAGAGGCTGAACACTCAGTCCTTCACTCGGCAGCATCATGGCACCTATCGGATTAAAGGCGGTGGTCGGCGAAAGTAAGAATTATTTCTTTAGTATTTTTTCCCCCTAATGTGTTGAGATGTGGCGCTGAGCTGTGCGCACAATTGCGGTGTGTGCGTGTCTCCAGGATGCGGATGTGTCAGCTAGTACATCTGGGTGATGGTGATGAAGATGAAGGTTGTGCTCTTGGTGTTCCATTGTATTTTATTGTAAACCACAGCCGTGCAGTGTGTGAGCTGATAACCAGTGGAGGCTGGTTTTATGTCACTGCAGTGAGGATGCGCATTTGCATTTCAAGCAGAGTAGACCTGAAAATGGCTTTAACTAGCTTTGATTAGGCCACTGCTGAACGTAGGCATCTTGAACAAGAAGGATACAGAAAGCCTGGAAGATTATTTAGCACACAAACGCCCTTTTAAGCCCCAATCAACGGTAATTTCAGGAATAATATGCGCTGCGCTGGAGCTGCAACATAAATTCGTGTAAACCCTAATAGTGTTGTGTGATATACTGTAGACACTTCAGATGGCTAATTATTGCCAATAATGAAATGGCTGCAGATTAACACACTCAATCCGTGGGATTCCCTAATATCAGCAGTGCCTCACCCATATGATTAAGCATGCGTAAAACACCCTTTCTGAGCTGAATCGCTCCTGAGCTGAGCCAACCTGCTGACAGCTCCGCTGCACATTAATGGCGGATTGTATCTGAGACGAGAAAGTTGCTTTTAAAACGCCACATACGCAAGAAATTCCGCATTATCTGTACATGCGTGACCGTCCAGTAACGCTCAGTGAGTGTCCTTTACTGGCGCTGCGCCACCGATCAAACCCAGCCTGTGTAATCCTGCATCATCATTCAGGACACTCGACTGTCCAGCCATGATTTTTTCACTTAGACTCATTTATTTAGGCTGATGCTCCAGCAGCCGCCTGACGCAGGCCTGAACACGGAGGCGCTCCTCTATTCTCCTCATCAGGGTCAGCTGGGTGCAAGTGTTGGTGGTCGTGGTAATGTCAGACAGGCCTGCTCAGTGAAGGAAAGCCTCACACGTAGAGCTCTTACATTTAAGCCTTATATCTCATACAACCCTAATGTCTTCTGTCATTTCTTCACTGGCACGTTCACTTCATTTTAACGTGCCCTGCCCCATGGTGCAGGATTTCATATTTTTTGTCGATTTTTTTTATACAGGATCACTATTCTCTACAGAATTTCCATATACCCAATGAGTACTAATGTCTTGCTTTTTGGAAGTAAGATGCCACATTTTGAAATGTCCTACTTGATCAGGATCAGTGATGCATGACATTAATCATGTGTCCTGCTGCAAATTCTTAGGCCCCCACCCCCAACCCATACACAGATACAGATACACATCCACCTCCTCTGTCCTAGAGAGCTCCAGTCTTTTTCTACTGTGATATAATAGAGGGTGAAAAGGTTCGTGCTTTGGCTGGGAATCAGGCCTCCCACGTGGAGTAAGAGTTGAGCCTGCAGAACAAAATCCAAAAATGTGTATTCAATGTAATTCGTTAAGTATCATATTTACAGTATAACAGATATAATGAAATACAGTTGTAATTGATGGTTTGTGAAACTGGTACAGTTAAGTTGGGCTGGGGGGATATGGATGGACAATTAATATAATACCATGATATCTATACAAATAGTTTCCCATTAATAGACACAGTATTTGGAATACAGGTTTTTATTTTATTGTGATGATATTCCATTGATAATACTGAATCACTGTCTAGCTCTGCTGTAGAGTTAGAATATCTTTAATAGGTGATTAGGGAATATGGTTTGGCCTTGTGTCCCGATGCACAATGATGAATACGCTCTAGGTATTGACAGATAAACCCCTTAAAATTAAATATTGACATTTTTCAGAGGTAAACGTTTCCTCCCATATATTATACAAAAATAAATATAGCATATTTTACTTGTTATCTAAGTTGATGTAGTTATCTTATTTTGCCCGATCAATGTGTACATTTCAAAAATCATTGTATTCAATGTTGGCATATACCAATGGACCATATGTCCATATCAATAACATCAGGCGTAATAACATGTTAACACCACTACAGAAAATACTTTGTGTTCTCTGCAGTTAGGTGGAAAAAACATTTGTGTAAATCAGTTTGGGCCAAAATGACAAATATGCACAATTCCAATATTGTGCATCCCTTATATAGTGACATATATCATGCTTGAGGTGAGAATTAGAATTCATGAGTCCAAACCTGCATTTGAACGACCTGGATCACTGGTACTTGCTATGTTAGACGCCTACATTTCTTAAGACTGATTTTTATACAAAATGTATTTTCTATGCACCTACAACATTACACAATACACCCACCACATGCCAACAATTCCTACATGTTCTACATTATATCATTATTTAGACTTAAAATTGGCAATTACATAACCTAGTTTTGTAAAACTAAAGGCAGCCACATGCAGGCTCTCTGTGTCGAGTGAACAGTTTTTTCTAGAACACCATAAACACTCCTGAATGTTTCCCAGTAGGTAAAGGCAGGCAACACCTGCGCTCTGTTTGGCTGAGGTGAAGCTGGCATGAGATTGGTGGAGGTGGAGGTGGGGGGGGGGGGGGGGCAGAGAGGGAGGGCAGCACCATCATGGGTACGCTCTGCAGTGCATGTAGCAGCCAGGATGAAGGAGGGGGGATGGGCAGCAGCCGAGCTTCACCCTCCCCTTTCAGGACTGTGTATGAGCGTCAGTCCCAGAGAGCTACAGAAGGAGAAAAAAGCTATACATTTATAGAAAACAATTGATATGCAACCCGTGAATAAAATAAGCCATGTTTTCTTAACATTCAGGAGGCAAACCCTTTACATGTAATGCTTATATGCTGCTGTGCTGGATTTCATTAGTTTGTCCAGGTTTTCATGTTATTCTTTCCATAACTTGAATTTCTCACGAGGCCTTTTGTGACATTTTTATGTTGACCCAGACAAGGAACAACCTGACATTGCAATAACATGGTCTCCTTTTTACACTCATTGAACGCACCCTTTTCTTATGTTCTCCTTGTGTCGTTACATTACATTTGATTTATCTAAAGTTATTATCCAAAGCGACATTCAATAAGTGCGTTCAACCGTGAAGATGCAAACTAAAACAAAAGCATGAATCTTGCTAGTGCATTAGCTTTCAAAATAATAAGTACTAGAGCATTGGCTTCAAATAAGACAAACTGTGAAAGTGATATGTATAGGTTTATTGGCCACGATGCAGTAGAAACAATTGAGTTTACATTTTATTTATCAGTGGTTATCCAAAAAATGAAAGACATATCCCTGCAACACTCAAACTGATATCGGTCTTACTGTCTGTGAAATGTGTGAATGCAGAGGTCGGGCTAAACTGTTAGCATGTGTGAGGCTTGTTTTGTTTGCCAAAGTGTGATTTTATTCCAATGCCATGATTATAAATTATAACCATATATCATAGTAATATTCATAGTGTAACAGGAATGACATTAGGATACTACCAATTGGTGCGGTTGTACAGTAGGAAGTGATGCAAGGCCTGTGCAGATGCCTATCGATTTGTACTGGTCATTGAAGTTGAGTATTTCTAATAGTCTTGCCTCGTTGCTTTAGACTTTAGGATATTTAAGTTTTTGTCGCAGGGAATGACTCAAGGAAACCAATACCACTGTCATGACAATGCAACAATTACAGAGTGAGAATAAGGGAGTGGTTAGCCTAGCTGAGCATTTAGACTTTTAGCATGAGAAAAATCTACCCTGGTTCTGTCCAGTGTTCAATTTCTTGGTGAACAAAATCCAGGCGCAGTGACTATGCAGCTTCCAGAGTCTCGACATCACAGTGAGGCGATGAGGTTTTTTCCTGTGGGGAGAACAAATGTTGTGATAACTGATTGTATCGGCCGGGTAGTGCGCAGATAGACTAGCTCCAAAATAACGTAGCCCCTAAAATCATAGTTTTTTGTTTTTTTAAATGTAATTGAATGTACAAAACAAACATGATTCATCGTATCTTATCATAATTAATCCAGGCTATGCTAAACTTGTTTTACTACATCCTAATTCTAGCTACTTCACATACTGTGCGTGCGTGAGACTGCTGTTGATTGATTGATTTCACTTTTGAAAAGGAAACAAATACTTGTATTTCCAGTAGAGCTGACAAATAGTTGACTCAACGGTTAGTTGAAAGAAAACTATTTTCAATTCAATAATTAATCAATGAATAGTCAAAAATAATTTCTCATGCAAAAATACTATTTTCAGCTAATCAAATACGGAGATGTCCTGCTTTCTCTGCTTTATTATTAAACTGTATATCTTTGGACTGACAAAAAAAGCTTTTACATTTGTCTTGTTGTTTGAGCTTTTATTGACCACAATGAATTGATTAATGATCTCCAATAAAGAGATAGTTCAACATTTAGGGAATAAGGCTGCAAATAAGGATTTTTGTAATTATCTGGTGGAATGTGATGAGTGGGTTGCTCAGTCATTTGGAAGCAGGCGAGTGTGATTTATTCTTCCCTGCATGAGGCTTTTTAGGAAGAGAAGGAATGAGGACGGAGAAGGACACATGCATGCACATGCACAAACACACACACACACACACACACACACACACACACACACACACACACACACACACACACACACACACACACACACACACACATGCATGCACATAAAAAGCTTTCATCTGACCTTGGAATCATCCCTGAACCAGAGCATCACACACAACTGCGTTCAGTCTCTGACGCAGTGCCTGCACCCCCCGGCCTCCATTAAACACACACACACACACACACACACAACAAATACACATGCCTCCTGCATACACCGAGATAAGTCCAATGCCGAAATGTCATGTCACCGTGGTGACAAAGCATGAAGGCCTGGCTGAAAGAGAGCTCTTTAAATTCAGGGTTACAGTGTCTCACAATCTTTATGAATTCCCCGTCTCTTTCACTGTGCTGTGTCAGAGCGGGCAGACATCCCCCTCCTCCC